AAAAGCTTTTCCCAACAATTATACATCATTCGAACCGCCATTAAAAGCGGCAGTCAGGTCCGACTGTCCCTTGCTATATGCATCGAGGAAACGCCAGAATCGACGGAAGAGTTTCATTTAGACCTTACGTTGTTTGAAATCAGCACGAGATTCAGGTATGGGACGAAGCATCGTGAAGAAAGTTTGATCAGTGTTGGCTCTCACATATCGCTTCATCTCGCACCACAATCCGCTTATGGATCTAGAGTGTGCACTTTCGAACGACCTATAGTTTTTTTGCTTGGATGATGGTTTTTGAGAGTTTTTTTCTAAAGCCTGTGATGGTAAAAAAATATTTTGTTTTTCATTAGTTAGTTTATCAATGGAAGCATATATCGCTATGTTTCTGTGCATGTCTGTTCGATGCGTCATAGTTGATAACCTACGGCAAACTACTCTTACATCACTTTCGTCACAAAAAATCATATTTTAGAAGTCTAAACTTGTTTTCCATCTTTCACAAAATGGCCTATTTGAGAAGTAGGCATTGTCGTTTCCCAGATTTTTCCTCTATTTTAGGTGGCACAAGAATCATGTTACTCTAAAAATGATGAGAAAATTTGTGGGTATGACTTAAACGACTGGGATTTTTCAAATTTTGAGATACCTACTTCTCACATAAGCCATTTTGGAGATCATTGTGGACAACGCTAGGACATATTCAGCGAAAGACTATAGTATCTGCGAGTTCAGCAAGGGGATCGGAACAAAATGTCCCGTTGATTCCGTTGAGTATTTCGACTCTAACGGTCAACTTGTCTCTGTCTCTTATTATTTTTCGAAGGGTCAACACAAAGGGCTTTCGAAAGGTCTTGCTTCCCAGGAGGTATAGAATCGATTCTATTGGTGGAAAGCTTCATCTCAGCTTATTTGGATGAAAATGATATTCCCTTGACTTTAGTTCGGCTGTTACAAGATGGTTGTCTGTGCGTAAAATATGTAAAACCGGCTGTGAGATATTTTGTTTTGTTTTGTTTCTCTGCAGTTCGGAGACAAGTAACGCTCGCTAGCTCGCTGACTCTCCACCGAAGACTCGGAACCGGTCAGCTAGTAGTCTAATTTTCGTTGCAGTATCGTCCGTTGACTTTAGCAACTTACCTCTGTTAATGACGTTCGATGACTTTGAATACAAAGACAACGCTCACACCTTCCTTCGGTCAGCGTTCGCTTGGGGCCTATTCACAATAAGTTATGGAATATGTGTCTGCATGACTATCTACAATATGTGTGCACGGTAAAAAGAAAAGCGTCGAAAAGTTGACGCTTTTTAGTGAACGGTTTTTTCGTCCCATCTTGGTATACTTTTAAGCTAGACGGTTTTTTTTGTGGACTAGTTTTCTCGTATGTTTTTTTTGTTAGATGGAAACACAAAATTTGAAAAGATTTCTAGATAATATTTTACTCAGTTTTGAACGCACTATACTTCGGAAGCGCGCCTGATCTGCTGGTTCGATCCACTATCGCAGGAAATCAGTCGTTTCTGAGATAAGCTAGTGCAGTGAAACGAGTCATCTATGCAGTATGCACTTAAATACTATGCTTGGACGAATTTTTGTCGATACCTTTTTTAGTATACTTCTCGTGGACGTTTTCTAGTGGGCGCGTTTTTGGACGCTTTTCTTTTTACCGTGTGTATGTCCGTCCGTCACACTAATATGTCTATGTATGTCCATCTCCTAATATCTTTGTGCACGGTCGTTAGTCATACTAGTATCTTAGTGCATGACCGTCCGTCACAATATCGAACAACCTTCAATGACTTTTAATAACAGACAACGCTCACACCTCCCTTCGGTCGGCGTTCGCTTGCGGGCTATCTACAATATGTTACGCAACACGAGTATGTACATTCATCACACAATATCTGCGAGCACATTCGCTAGTCACGCTTGTATCTGAGTGCACGGCCGTCCATCACAGTAATATCGAAAGATCTTCGATGGCTCCGAATGAAATATAATGCTCACCCCACCCTTCGGTCGGCGTTCGTTAGAGGACTTTCCACAATATCTATGTAATATGAGTATGTACGACCGTCACACTAATGGTGTATGTATGCACGTCCGTCATTAGCGACTCATACTATCACTTTACAGTTTCACGTCGATTGTGGCGCCACACATCCGTTCTAGTGACCCACACCATCACTTTACACTTAAGCTTGGTAGTGCTCGCTTGCTACTGCTTGGTGAGAATGTCCTTCGGAAAGTAATGTGAACAAGAATGATAATTATTTTATTATACAAAACCAATCTGATATTGGCGATTCCTTTCCACTCAAGGGATAAGTAAAGCAAAATGATAAACGTTACTTGTTTTTACTGTACAAATAAGAATTAGCACAATCCGAATATTAGACCACGTAAAATTTAAAGTTACACAGAGTCTCCCAAAGACTTGGATCTTGGACTCCTGTGGGCTCCTGGAGTCCGCTTTTTCCCCCTTGGATGAAATGCTCTTGTTTTAGCCTTGTTGCTCGTCCTTCAGTCTTGGTGATCGATTTGATTACCTGCGACATCTACACTGCTGTGTGAAGAAAATAGTACGCTTATTGATACATGTTGTTTAGTTTTGGGATTTCTTTACCAAATGTGCCTAATGATTAACAGATAAATTACTATCCGTTTGAAAATAGAAGGCACATTGCCGTTTTTTGAATAACTTTGGATAGGAATGAGATACAGATCTGCGGATTCCAGCATTTGATAGAGGACACTCACATAGCAACGTACTACTCTAAACACATGTGGATATACAACAAATGTCAATCTACAACTTACCGTAAGTCCGAAGTCTTCATCTATCGTGGTTCGGGCGCTCAGGCTACCTTCGGGAACCTACCTATCGGCTAAACCTGAAGTCCGGAAACCTTAAAAACACATGAACCATAGGAAAATTTGGTTTTTTCGCTATGACCGTACTAAAATAAAAAACTTGAGAAATGATAGTGCTAGAAGAAAAAGCACGTAAGAATTCATATTTGGCAATAAAGAAATGGAGGAACTGGTGAAATTTATTAATCTAAAACATCCATCAGTTGTTTTGACATTGATGAAAGTTCCATTCCGTCATGGGCGGGAAGGGAAATTTTTTCTTCATCATAACTCAACTTCTGAGGAATAAAAATATCATACTCGGAATCAGGATCAAACACTGAGTCGACTGATGCGTATTTCGAAATTTTTAGTTGATTTTCAGTTTTTGCTGAAAATCCCGGTAGTTTTCTCAACCTCAAAATTCGAAAAAAATGAAAGTAGTCGGCATAAAAACAACTTTTTATAACTTTAAAAAATATATTTTCTTAATGAGCTCAACGAGCTCTATCGAACGATTTATAATAATTTAAAAAAAAATTTTGCTAAATTTTTGCATTACGCGCACTTTAACAATTTTCAATAACAATAACAATAATAATAATACTTTGCAAATAATCAATTATTCTACTATTAATGTACCTTGAACCTAAATTTTTTTTGAAGTATTAGATATTGCTCAGTTTGTTTTGCTCTTTCAAACGACATGTTGATCAAAATATTTGAATGAAACATGTCGATTTTGTAGGTGAAAAAGTAGAAAACGGTGATTTTTTGACTTTTTTTGCGAGTCTTTTGAAAAACTGTTTTTTTCCCTTGGAAAAAAAACGTATGAAAGACTGAAAAGGTTTTCATATACTTAATTTTTAATGAGGATTCGACTGGAAGTGGTTTCCCGGAGAAAAAAAAATTATTTAAATTGCTTTTTGGTTCTTTTCAGCTTTGGATCTTGTGGGACCATTCTGATCCCGATTTGTGTCGATTTTGTTATTTTTAAAAGAAGCATCAGGTGCAGAATTGTTTGCTTTATAACATATCAAATTTCCATTAGCTCCTGACATTCGGTTACTTGACTATTCAGGTTTTTTGAAACCTCAAAATTGGCTGTTACTGTCAAAAAAATCGAAACCATCAAGAAAAAGGGCTCATAAGTGTAAGAAATATTTCGTCATTCCAGTTTATCATGCTGAATCGAATGATGTAACTTTTAGCAAAATCTATTTTTCGCGTTTGACAGGCCTGCTTACGGGTACTCGATTCACTCATGGAACGTCTCTTAATGGCAAAAATGCGCACGCAGCATCGCAGCAGGTTTGAATTCAGGACGAATTCTTTAGAGATAAATATATACCTTATAATCGATCTTATTTACACTTGTACACTTTCTTCGTTTTGCATGTACCTATATGCGATCCCTGTGATTATAACGATCCTTGTGTGTAATACTTTGTGAGGGTATTAATTATAATGGCAATTACTGACACAGATCATTCAAAATAAAGATCTAAGAAGTGTTTTACAAGTGCCATGTCCCACATCACCAGAATACATCCATTATCAATTACAGCATGAAAAAGTCTTCGAATACAGCAAACGTCTAGCAAATAATTATCTTAATAAAGCTATTATAAATGGGAAAAAAGCTGAAAGGATCCCGTAAAAATTGCAGAATGGATCCCGTATACCAAAATTTCGATAAAAATAGTAGAAATGATCCCGGATTTAGAACAAAAATATTTTCGACAACATTGACCCCGGAATAAACTAATTTTTATATTTATTGTGCAGAATTGATCCCGGAAAACTGTTTTCTTTCTGCGAACAATAGAATTGATCCCGGTTGACGTGTTTAGTGGTCACATAAGATCCCCTTCTCCAAAGGTGTGTTTTATTACAAATAAATGCAGTTTCCGATACTTCAATCTTTGTTCAGTTTTTCGATAACACTAATTTAACTTTCTTCGGTCGACGTCGATCTTTACGCTTCCCTATTTGTTGCGGCATCGCTCGAATACCCAAAACATCATTAAACCAATGGCATGAACACAGGCGTATTCTTTCATTCCGTATTTACGTGTACAGAGCCATGGTGGCAATAAACGTGTACAATTTAATAATCGTGCTGATCTTAGCCAGTCCTTCAGATCATCATACGTTGTCGAATTCATTTGATTGAATCACAATCCATTGTTGAACATTCACCTTTGGCTCTTTCGCCGGAACAACGCACATACCATAATCAAGTGGAGTTATTTCCGATTTATCAACTTTCTGTAACCATGCGAAAGCTTCCTTTTCTAAATCTTTTTTATATGTAATATGATATGCAAATGGTGTTTTCTCACTATCGATCGACCAATCTTTTAACATTTTGTTTATGTCTCAACGTCGTCTTTACATTCGCTCCACAAGTCAACCGGGATCAGTTCTGTCGTTCACAGAAAGAAAAAAGTTTTCCGGTATCAATTCGGCACAATAAATATAAAAAATAGTTTATTCCGGGATCACTTCTACTATTTTTATCAAACTTTTGGTATACGGGATCCATTCTGCAATTTTACGGGTTCAAAACAATTATCGTCCTTATAAATGGACACATAAGAACAATGTAAATCTTTGCAGAAACACGTTTCGTTAGAGAAATAAATATACCATTAACAGCATGTTGCCCGCAAGACACCAACTAAAACACTAAACTAAAATTTAGTTTCTCGTCGTTACATAATATTATAAAGCTTATCAATGGCGTAACCAGGATTTTTGGACTGCTGAGCCGTATTCCGTAGAGTTGAAAAGAATCAGTGGGCCTTAGGCTGGAAAGCTAATTCTGGTAACTTTAGAAGCTAAAATGGACTCAGAATCTGCGGAGTACGAGCAGAATGGTAAAGGGACTGCCAGTCAATTTTACGGTCACTCAGCTATATAATCGTTTACCAAATCAAAATTATTCTGGAACAAGCTATTCAACATATTATACTAGTACACCGTCCACATATTATGGGGCACAGTTATCGGTACTGTTTGTAAGTATTATCTTTTTTGGAAAATTTTGTTTTGTTGCTGAGAAATTCTATTTTTTCGAAATCACTGGAAAAATAATGACATTGGGCTCGTATTTTGCCGTTTTCTCAATTAGAAATCAACTTTTTGACACAAAAAAAGGCCAGCTTCAGAATCAGCGTTACAAACTGAGTTGGAAAATATGTGTTTCGGGATCTTTGAAGTAGTCCGTATTGTTTCGATTTTTCTCGATTTTCTCAAAACTTAAAAATAAAACGCGGGATTTTCACTAAAAATCTAAAA